AGCATTTCTCTTGACTTAACTTTTGGCAACTGTCGTTTCTATATTTAATTATATCCCTAAAATCATTCCAGGTCATTAAGCTCCCTTTTCACCTTTAAGTGCTGCATTTAGCAAAAAGGGGTGGTGTCTCACACAATGGCTTTACTAATCTGTTATATCAATCACATCACACTTATCTGGCTTCAGGGTATTAAAGCTCCCTCTCCAGTTGCAGTGAATATCATCCACATCTTTGTCTTTTTAATCTCCTTAAGGGCTCAGTTATGCTGTTCCGATCGGGTGTGGAGAAGGGATGCCACAATCCAGGGAGGGGGATTGTGGCCATATGTCTTTCAAGAGCCTGATCTTGTCAAAGCTGCCAAAGGAACATAAAGAAAGGTGCATGTCCCAAAAGGCACAGCGTGTGTTGTAATACATGGGTGTGCTTGTGTTTCATGCTGCCCTCATGGCCATCGTCCTGGCATTTGGCCTTCTGTATCATATTAAAGATTAACACTTTTATTGTGGTGTAATCAAAATGGACTATATCAAGTGGGGATGTAGCTGTAGTTGTACAGTGTTTTATGAGGGGGTTGTATTGTTAGATGTTTCTATTATCACAATTTTTATTATGTGGGTTTTATTATGGGAAGGCTCCTGTCCTGAAAGATGGCCAAGAAATGTCTTAAATAATAATTATGGCAATTCATTTAGGCCTTCCTTAAGGCATGCTGTTTTTGCCTGACTCTATGGAAAGAGTATGCAAAATCACTTTTCTTGCTCAGGTTTTTTTCTCCACAGGCTACTTGCATAGTAGGGTTTCTCCACAGTGGAAACAGTTTTCCATTGGTTTTTCTGGAGTGTGGCTGTAGATTTGATATTAATTGAAATCTGCATGTATATAAACAATAGTGCTTACAAGTTAATCCAAAAATGTTCATGTGAGAGTGCCTGAAGGACAGAAGTGTGTAGTGGGTAAAGTGCTAGGCTGGAGAATGAGCGAGCCAGTTTCTAGTCTCCACAAAGCCTGAACCTCACTGGGTATATTTGGAACAGTCATCACACTCAGCCTGGCCTACCTCACAGGGTTGTTGTGAAGATAAAATGGAGAGGCAGCAAACCTTTTAAGCACTTAGGCTCCTCGTGAGAGAAAGAAAGGAAAGTATACAGGAGATAGTGATGATGATCATCTCATATACACTGAGTCAACTTTTCTCCCTAATATTGGCCCTGGTGTTGTACAAAACATTGCAAAATGTTTAGCAATGGATTCACAATGAGCTTCAGTATTTTACCCAAATCAAATGTGATCTCAGTACCATGATCTCAGTACCATGAACAAACTGCATTCTTCCTATGTCAAAATTTACTGTTGTTTTCTCTCTTACATCACCAATGATTCAGCTAGCCCAGTTCTGCCTGTTGAGAATGCCGTGGCTTTCCAGCATCTTAAAGTAGCCTTGCAAACTGACTTCCTTGAAATAAAATGGTAGAAACCAAGAAAAGGAAGAAAGTTTTCGGGCACCCATGAATATGGCGGAGCAAACGAGTAACAATTAAAAACACTTTTGTAATTTGAACACAGATGTTACCCACTGTAAAAAGAACATAACAATAAAAATGACAACCATTTTATTTAGACATGATCATGCCAGTATATGGTGAGCCATAGCTGTAGATGTGACACACTGCCTGCGGTGACAAAGTGTTTCATCCCAGGAGGATCGCGTCAGAAACAGCACATTACACATAATCCATTGAACATCACAGAGGGATGCTCCTGCCCCTCCCTTGAGGAAAGCCACATGTAAATACAGCAGAGTGCATTCCCACACAACTTAAAGTGCTCAGAAGGGAAGGCTACTGAGCAACATGATTTCCTACACACCTTTCAGAGAATGGTGCGAACAGGGTTCCCAACCTGGGGTGGTTACACCCCCAGAGGTTGTGAGCTGGCATTTCAGAGCGTGCAACAGAGGATGGCTGCATTGCAATTTGTCAAAACTGGTGAATTACGATGTTTTTTGCCAGCATTGGTGAATTGCTACTTTTTTTTGCCAAAAATTATCCCAATAATAAATTAGTTATCATTATTTTGTTTGCCTGTGGATTCAGTTCTCTTTTTTCAATCAAGACAAAATCTAGGGATTGTCTGCCTCCACAGGCAGGCTTGTCAATTGCTGTCAGCAAGGAAATTCTACATTTTGACAAAATTGTGAATAAGAAGCAGGAACAAAGAAGTAATTGAGTTTTATGTTCACAATTGGGATTGGTTTTACTGTTTACATTTTTTCTAATAGCTCAATTTATATTTGTATTTTATGCATTGGGTTAAAAGCTCATTTCTTTGCGTTCAGCTTGTTTACTCGCAGAACTGTATGTGGTTCAATGTGTGATTCAAAAATTATAAATGTGACTTCTTCAAATGTGATATTACTTTTTTAGGGGGTGTGAAAATGAACATTTTCTAGGGAGGTGGGGTATAGAAAAGATTAAGAACCACTGTATTATAAATGTTTCATTTTATTTTTTCCATCCTCACAACAACCCTGCAAGGCAGGTCCCAGTTTAATCTACAAAGGAGACTCACACCCACTGACCTGCCTGCAGGGCGATAAGCAGGCTTCCTTAAAAATCAGCTCTTCATTTACCAATCTAACTGGGCCTGAAGATAATGAATGCCCATTTCAAGAAGAAAAAAACCCTTCAGAATCCATATGGTGACTAAATTATGTCACCTCCTCCTCCAGAAGAAAGGGAAAGGGAAACCATTGTGCACTGTGGAAGAATGACCTACCTGGCCCCATAACTTCCTTTTGTTTCCACTGTGTATTATTGCTAATAATTTACTTTGTCGTTAGGTCATGGTAAGTTACACACACTCAGAACAATAAAAATGAACAGCACAATATAGCTAGCCTAAGCTACAGAATTTCAAACAGGACAAACTCATTTTCTTTAGCCACCTGAGCTTTCATGTAATTCATACCCTTTCCCAATTGCCGGCACCCAGGGAGTGCCTTAAGCACGCAGCTCTGCTCAAAACGAGGAACTTCCTTCTCATCCTTGACCGGCTCCTTCTGTAGAGCAGACGGTTCTCCTGAGGGGTGGCTTGCTGTGCTGCAGAGAAGCTCAAGTGTTCTGCAGTGCACTGCGGAGACAGGCAGTTCTCTTTTGACACCCCCCTTGCATACACTGCACATTGGCTGAACTCCAGCATGACCTCAAAGCATGGTTAAAGATGCTAACTCACCATGGACTTTAACCTGCTGCAGAAGCATAGTTGGAAGTGGACTTTCAAACCCAAGCTTGTGTTAACTATGGTTTGGTATGATATCTGAAACAGCAAACCCCAGTTGTAAGAAGAAACACAGGGAGTTGTGTTATACTAGGTTAGCCCACTGGCCCATCTAGCTCAGCACTGTCTATAACACAGTGGCTGTAATGTACTTCTCTGGGGTTTAAGGTCTAAGGACTAGGAACTTTCTCAGTCCTCTGTTAAAATGCCAGGCAATTCCAAGCAGGAGGTCTGCCACTGAACTACATCAGACCTCCACATACTTTTGTCTGGAGTACAGTCACTGCTCCATCTCCAGAAATACTGCTGCTAGAGACAGTAAGGCTTAAAAGGGTGGGGAGCACACATTGCTTGAAGCCATGACGTGCTTGGAAGCTCATGCCACAGTTTGGAACAATGCCAGAACACACCCTGAATATTGTGACCAGCTAGTTAACTTGGAAAATACTACAGCACTATGTTCAGTGACAAAATAATAATTTGAGGAAAGTGACACTAGCTGAAATGAGCAAAGGTAGATTGCAAGTCTGCTATAAGTTGTACTGTACAACTGACCTCAAATGGAGCATTTATTTTTCAAGCTAATGATATTGAGTGGAATATCCAGACAATAATTTTGTAAAACTGGATTCTTACAGTAAAACCACTAAGAAACATTATATACGGTTGACTTTACTTTTCCAATATAGTTTAGAGCAGACTGAGGGATTCTGGCCATCTTTAATTCTTGCCATTGTGCAGTAATACTTATTTGTAATTAGACAGGGATAGATCCAACAGTGTCCTACACAATGGAAAATTTGCCAGCGGGGCAATGGCAAATAGAGGACCATCTTACCTCTATTTAGAGGACCAAAGGTATGTGGGGAGCATGCCCCCTGTTTTCAAGCAAAACTGTACTCCCAGAAGATTCGGGAACATGTGTTTGCTTGGAAAGAAGACACATGTTCCCTCAGTGCCTTGTTTTGGAGGGAAAAAAAACCCCTTCTTTTTTGCTGCTACCACCACATTCCTCATTGCACTAGTAAGTACAAGCACGGATTTATGCTAACACAACAGATACACCATTAATCTTTCCCAAGGGTTCTTCCATGAATTGTCTTTAATTTCTGACTCAGAAGTGGTTTAGTAAGAGTGACACAACGCGATTCACATCTTTATTGCTTTGGTACAGTTAGGCTTCTTAATAAATAAGGCTTTGTGCCACACTTTTTTGTCTGCTTCAAAGACTCACGGTCATCATGCTGACCCACTCGCTCTTAACACCAAGCTGAACTGGCAGCAGAGGTCAGCATAGTTGAGCACCTGCTGATGGAGCCGTGGCTCAAGGGACCACTGATAACCCTACTGAACCCACTGGCACAGAAGAGAGAAGAAATGACAATTTCTTCTAAGAAACCTCTGTTCATATTTTCAATCTTTCTAGAAGTGTTTTTGCTACAATAATATAAAATGTACACACCCGTGTATCACTCCAATGAATAATTCTGATAACTAGTCAAGTCAGCACAATGTTTGGCCATCACGGGTGAGTTTTTGAATACTTTGCACCAGCAAATGCAAAGTATTCAGTTGCATTTATACATGGCAGTCTTCGGAATGGCAGCATCGCTCCATAACCTTTTGTCACGCAACAAATATCTGTGGATCCTCTCCTCTTCATCAGCATGAGACAGCCTTCATATTGCTTTCAAATTACTTCCAAGAGGCAGGAAGAGCCGTGTCATTGCATAAAAATTACGATGACCAAGGCCAGCAGTGGGAGACTAGCAGCCCGTGTGCTGCTGCCTGATGTCCTCCGAGCGTGCACGACTGCAAATATGGCATTTGTATGATTCGTTGGGATGTCTACATTGCAAATCATCCCCTCGCAGCACGATATGCACTCCTGTCGGTTTTGAAAGACAATATTATTATGCAGGAATAAGGGCTGCTACCCAATAAATAAAATCTTGGTAGAGTACTCCTAGAACATTCAGTCTGTTAGTAAATCTGCATATGAAACAAAAACCAAACCTGGTGGGGTAGAAGAACTTTCTGTTTTTATATGGGAGCATGTATGTGTGTGAAGGCTCAGCAAATAGAAGAGAAATTTATTTATTTGATTTATATCCTGTCCTTTTTTTTTTGTTAAAGAACTCAGAGTGACTGACATCATGCTCCTCCTCCTCCTCCTCCTCTTAATCTTATCCCCACAACAACCCTGTGAGGTTCTTTCAGCTGGGAGTCTGTGACTGGCCTGAAGTCACCCAGCTGGCTCAATGGCTGAGTGGGGACTAGAATCCAGATCGCCCAAGTCCCAGTCCCACGCTCTTACCCACTTCGCCACAGTGGCTCTCAGGAAGCGACTGCGGCTCTCTATTACAGGAAGGTATCTGCCACATGCCCTTTTTGGTAAGTCCCTGCATTATAGATAACTAGGCATTTATTACCTATCTGCTGCTTGAGTCACTGGAAGGCACCTTTTAAAAGCCAATTCTAAAGTTTTTGATCAATTACTTCCACACTAGGATCTTTTAGTTCAGCTGAGACACTGCTTTTCCACAATCTATTTGAAGTGGAATTAGACAGTGGTTCCCAACAGCACATAATATACTGCTGCATTAACTAGCAATGTCCCTGTCCACGGCACAGAAGGGAAATCAATAAGAAAAACAACAAGTGCTCTTTCAAGGAACAAATATTGCCCAACTACAATGTGGGAGCCTATAATCAAAAGGGACAATAAACCACAAAATCGAAAGAAAAGAGAGTGCTAAACTGTGTACTCGCATTTTACATTTGCACTGTAGTTGCACAGAATCACAAGTGTGCACTATGGAAAGTCACCCATGTGGCTTTTGCTACATGCACACCAGGCCTTGGTCTTGCATGTAGTTCAAGGCATAACTAAAACTTCAGGAAATCCATACTGCTGGTCCTGATCAAATTATAGATTTACTTAGTGGCTTCACCTCACACAGGTCTCTGAGCAAAGCTACAGCTCACAATCTAAACATTTAATATAATTCCAGCCCAAGACTTCTATTATTTGAAGGTTTTGCCACAGATCCCATCCTCTCATTTGGCCTATAGATAGATTTTTTCCTGTGAAATGTTAAAAGACATGTGAGGAAGGAGGGGAAAACTCAGTGTTAATGCTGTCTTTTTGTCTATTGTTAACTGCTCCACTGGGAGTGGGTGTAGGGGCAGAGAGGGCTTGTTTTCAAATGGCCTTCCTTTACATTGAAAGATAATCCTTACTGTATAAGTGGCTTCCCTGTGACGCCGACAGCCAACAAAACGGCATTCTTCCCTGGTAGCACATGATTTGGTGACAGAGGTGCTTTTTCCATGATTAGTGAAGTGATGGACCGTCAAACAGTACTGTGTGTCTAAGCAAAGAAAGCACACACACAAAGAAAATGGCAAGAATAGGGTGGCTTCAGTGAAAGATTTAGGCTTGCTCTTTAAAAGCACAGACTTTGCATCATAGGCAAAAATCAAGTTTCTGGTCACGTTTGAGTACCTGACCTGGAATTCGCAATAAATACTGTATTCTTTTCCTGCCCTCCCTGACACTGTTCTTTCCAATGTTTAAAATTAGATGTCTGGACTTGCTCTTCCTTAAACAGTGATGGTTGGCACACAACCCTCATCCCGTTGGGCGCAGGCTTTTCCAAAGCAGTAGAAATGGTGCCTTAGAGCATCCAAACAACCTGCCCTACAACTCTCCCCCTGAGCAGCATCCCCTCTGCACGCTGAAGAGAAGGCAGCACTGTTTGTGTTTAAATGAAGCCTGCAGGTTGTAGATATGGCGGGGAAGGACCTGGACAGAAACATGGCGCTGCGCAGCGCCTTCCCACTGCCTAGTTGATAGTTCCTTTTCAGTTTGGGAACATTAAGTGCCAGAAGGTCGCAGAAGTGGCGGAGGAGCGGTTCATCTGTGCCTGCATGCCATTTGGCTCCTTCATACTGAAGAGCCTGCCATCCTGTGGGTGAGGCCATTTTGGAGGCTTCCTGTTCTATTGTTGACAAGCTTGCAATGGGAGGGATCGTTGGTGTTGAAATTTATACCAACGGCACGAAATGAGGCTGCAGATGAACAGCTCCTTCATCACTCCTAGAACATATGGACACAGAGTTAGCTATAAGTGTTAATTACCATACTGTAAAAGATCAGGCACTGTAAGGCTGTGGCTTGTAATTTTCATCTCATGAACTCCTAGAGGAAAACAGGTGTGCACCCTAATGGCCTCAGTCTTTTGGAGTGTTAAATCCTCCTTAACTACTCAGATAGCGGAGTTCATTGGAAAGGCCAATGAAAAATGCCTGTCCTCTTTTCCATTTAATTCTTACATATTAAAAATGAGTATCAGGAAACAATATCAAATTAATAACATTACATGCACATCATAACAAGATGACCATGTAGCTCGCTAATACATAGCTATCATTTTCTGACTCAGGCAGCAACCAACCATCTATATATCTATCTATATTGCCATCCCCTGCAAAGGCAAATACCCTTTCAATATCCTACCACTTCCCATGCTTCTCCTGCCATGCACACTTGCCCAGCCCCTAAGATCAACTTGGGCAGTCCCCCGGGAGAAGGAGGTGAGGGGGTGGCCGCTAAGAAGGCCCCCTTTCAGCTGTGGCAGCCCAGCTGCAGGGAGACTCGCCTGGCACCTGCACTGCTCTTCCAGTCACCCTTTTATCTTTTCAGGCCCTTCTGCTTTTCCATGTCCATTTTAAATCCGGCATTGCATTCAAATCTTTGCACTGTGGCTGGGTTCTAGTAGAAGATTATTTTATACTGTTTTAAAAGTTTAAAAATTAATTTTGCCATTTTATCATTCTGTATTTTATACTTTTAATAGCTGTAAACTGCCCAGAGAGCTTCAGCTACTGTGTGGAATAGAAATGTAATAAATAGGTAAATAAATGCACTTACTTGGAGGACACCATTTATCTTCAGCCCATCTGTTACAGTTGTAATTGTCAACAACATTGTCACAAGTAAAACACTTGAAGCTGCTTGGAAATGGAGTAGCTTTATCATTGAAGAAAGAAAGGAAACCCAAGTTAAATAGTTCATGATCACAATTCCTAATTCCCCGTTCTCCCAGTTAGACTCAGTGGAACCAAATAGCAATGAAGGACTCAACCTTTGCCCCATGCGCCAGGGAGGAGGAGGGAAGGGGGGCTAGGGGACCGAGGGGGCTTGGCGTGAGGCGATGGATCCACCTCCGCTGCTCCCGGCCTTGCCCCCTTTGTCCTTTCCAAGGCCCAGCCGCATCCTCAGAAAGGCAGCCGGGAAGGTTCTTTCCACCCCTTCAGAGTCACACAACCCTGGAGTTGGCTCTGAATAATGCAGTGGCTCCTCAGACAACGTTAGGAGACTATGGGACTGAGCCCAAATTTCATTCCATTTTGAATCAATATTCTTGCAGCACAATTCTCAGCATGTGTCTTTAGAAATGAGTCCCACATTCCACAGTATTAACTCCCTAGTAAGTGGATCACAGCCTTATTTCTTTATGTAAACATTGCTATCCTAGTTCTTCTACTCAGCTAGAGTAGGAAGATGGTTCACAGTTACAACTGGAAAACAATAAAAAGAATAAAACTGTGAAAATAACAATGCAACATAAACACAGAACAGCCTTGGCTTGATTGTCAGCTGATAATGGGGCTAGGGTAGAATAAGATTGGCAGTGCAGATTACATGATCGCTTGCCTGTTACAGATGGCCCAGACCAGCACTGACCATGGTACTGTAGTGTGCATGTGTCCTGGGTGCCGAGCACACCTACCCCATACCTTGTTATGGTTCTTTACCCAAACAGTAAGGCATATATAAACTTTTAACATTCTGTTAAGGATACAGAACTTCTGCATAATGTGAACAGAACAAAAAAAAAGCCATGATAATGTAATCAGGTGAACATGAAGGTCCACCTAATAATTAGCAGCTTTGCTTTTAGAGTTAGACCTTTGTTAATTTTTTCTGAACTATTAGACAAAACACAAAGCAGAAAATGCTCTGAACTTACTTACTGACATACTCAACAGAGCTGTAAATGCCTACTTACGGTCTACTGGAAGTCTCACATTATAGAAGTTGATGTTCTTGGCTAGAATCCTATTGCCAGAGACTATGAAGAGCTGGAGAAAAGCTGCAGCCAAAATGTGACAGAGTAAAGGCATGCTGTCACCGAAACTTAATGTTCTTACACCTGAAAGGAAGGGGGAGAGCATATTGCGTTACAAGGACAGGGGAAGAAAAGACTGGGGCTACAGTTATATTGAGCACAATCTTTCCCACACCTTATTCACAAGCAGCACTGCCAGTGATGACTGTACATGAAGAAGACATCAGCACTGCAAAACTAAGCTGCTACTGCCTTCTGCTGGCCTGGCCTGCTGCAGTGTACATAGCAGCCTTGTCTTGCTCACATATTAGAGCCAGAAGCCAGTAGGTAAGTGTGAACCACTGAGGCAGGGAAGGTTAAGAAGCAGCTCCATCTCAAGCTTGAATGGATAACATTAAACCCTCAAGAAATAAAGTGGAGCCCAGACTTCAGTGGGTGTTCCTACTGTAATTGTTAACATCTGTCTATATTTAAGCGAACAAATACATGAGGCTATTTGTCATTTTAAAGTATTTTAGTTCCCTCAGGTAAATAAATGCCATGATTCACTTCAAGCACAAGCACAGAGGGCAGTGCTTCAACCAAAGACCCTAAACTTTTGTACGAATCCACAAAGTTAGATCTCTAGTCAATCCACTGTCTGTTATATCCAATACCTGCATATTTTGCATGTGCTAGTAAGAATCAAAAAGGCGCTTAGCATGTTGCTCTCCTCTACAAGTGTAGGCCATCCCTGCTTGTCACTTAGCAAAAGTCTCCTGGGAAAGTATTAAAAAGCTTTCTCTGACAGTCCTAAAGCTGCACTCCTAAAGTGCATATGGGATTTCATAGAGGTGTCATCAAGCAATGAAGGTAACTACTTCCAGAGCATAGAGGAAAAGACCAAAGCCGCTACCCTCATCTCTGTTGGAGCCTTGGGACCTGCACAGGGAGCAAGAAAATAATCAGCTGCCAAGGCCTGTAAGAAATCTGGCTGCTATTTTCTGCATTTGCATACTTATAAAGTAGCTCTTTGCAATTTGTATTGTTAGGGTTGCAGAGGGAAGGGCTGTTTTGTGCATTTGGCCCTGGTTTACACTTTACCAGTGAGTAATTGAGATTACGTTGCAATTATTTATTTATATATTTTAATTCACAGTATTTCTATACTGATCCACATCCAAACAGATACTGGAGCAGTGAAAGGTATACAATTAAAACAAATAGAGAAAACCACATTAACAAATTAAAAACAAAGTAACATTACAACTATGGCTAGTCAGCAAGAAAAAGCCATCCAATTTGGTACCTAATTTGAAATGCTGTGACGTTGGTTTTAGGGAAATGGACTGCTTGGGCTGGTTAGTATTTGTAATGATTGTTTTATAACAACTGATGTATCAGTGTGCTTTCTTTTATGGTTGTGAATTGCCCAAATAACTTCAGTGGTAGGGAATTACTGAAATCTAAATCATCATTATGGTGATCACAGCCATTCCCTGGAACTAAACATGGATTAAGCCCAAAGGAAAATGCTACCCAACAAACCTATAGAAAGATAAATATGAAATGTACAAGTATGCTTCATACTGCAGCAGACCACTGGTCCAACTAGCTCTGTCATGTCTACAGTGCAGATGGTAAGGACTCGTTGCGGTTCTGAGGCAGGCATTTTTCACCTGGACCTGGAGATGCTGGCTATTTTACCTGGATCCTTCAGCATGCAGACCACATGCTTTGCCCCACTGCTGTCACAACCATTCCCTAAAATTAGCACAAATATGCTAATTTTAGCATATCAATAATGCCACCAATTGCCCAGGAGTTACAATATTTTATCATATATGACATGCTTACATGGTGCATATGCACGGCTCTGGAATTCATTTCAGATTTAGAGCAGTACACACTGTAAATAAATAAGTACAAAATAGAATCATATATTTAATCTATCATCTCTACACAGTAACATGATATTGCAGTATCATGTTTCTAGTAAGCACAACCCTAATTTAGAGTCTGTAACAGAATATGGATGCGTACAAGCTGACAAGCATCCTGTTTTCAAACTGTTGATGCTGTATGGATGTGAGAACACCATTTGGCCTGCAAAATATTGCAGCAAAAGCAACAAGAAGTGTCAAAGACTAACTGGAATGTGTCAGATCTCTGTTCAGAATCACCACCAGATGGCATGAGCAGAGATCTGATATCTGGTTCCCAAACTATTCTGTGCTCTAGAATCTGATATCTACCTAGTTATGATTCTGGGAATCAGCCCCTGCAACTTCTGTTACTGAACACACACATGAAAGAATTCAAGCTTTATTTGCTTTTTTTTTTAAAAAAAACTGGCTACTGCAAACACAGGAAGGTAACCGCCCTAAACCTGGCATGATAGTTTATTGCTGATTAGCCCCAGCACAATGTCCCAAATTTAGAAAGGCAGGTGGATGGTGAATTCTTTCTAGGGAAAACATAATCTTGCAAACCCTTGCATTTCGATAGGAGAGAAAAAGTAATGAGCACAAAAGGGGGGAGGGGTCTTCAACTCAGCTTTTCCCTGCTGTTGCCCAACTTCATTCATTGGGCAAGTTCAAACAACAAGACAAACTTGACTGTAGCACAAGCCACACAGTGTGAGTGAAGTGCCAGAGGCCTCCTCCTCCCTCTTTGGTCTTCCCATAGCTATCCCAGGGCCTATCGCAGGAGCAACAAGTCTTTTCCTGCCACTGTGAACCGTGTCCATTATTTTTTTTTTCCCCTGTCAAGTTGCCTTTCATGAGCTCCATGAGCAGGCACAGTGGGTATAAGCCACAATAGGTTATCATGTTATGCAAATCCACTGATTGTTTAAACTACCCTGGATAAATTTCCCAAAGAACAGTCAGTAAAAGCCTCTTTCTTCCTGACCACCTCTTTGCCCCATTTCCCCCTCTCCTAGCCACTAGCCGGGCTCTTTCGCTCCCTCACCCATTGCCTTGCTATTTTTCCTGACCTCCCCATCAGCATCCTCTTTATTTCTTCCCCCACGCCCCGAGACACCTCTTTTGAATTAGCCAGGCCCCTACAGCAGCCATTACATGACTAGCAACATCCTCCATCAGACCTGTTTTGCGATGGTGCCCACATGGCATTGTTCTCAAACTCCAAAATGTGCCCACAGTCCCCAAAAAGTTGACTTTTGTGGTGGTGGTGCAGCTCTTGCCTTCCACAGCCACATACACACCCTTCTATGTTGCTGGGATTGCTTTTCACTCTTCTGGGCATGCAGAATGTAGCTCAGCCTTTTATTGCTGGGGAAGGCAGGACTTTGCTGCTGGAAGAAGGCAGAAACTAAGATGGACTTGTGATATGGCAGTCTTCCCTAAGCCGATGCCCTCTAGATGTTCTGGCTACAACTTTCCAGCCCTTGCCTGCATGACCAATGATCAGGGATGCTGGAAATTTTAGTCAAAAAGATCTACAGGGTACCAGGTTGGAGAAAGGTGTGCAATATGGCAGGCATGCTCTCTAGCTCATAAAGACTAAGTTTAAGATTGCCACTATGTACACCACTGGGACAGCAAACAGGAATCCCTGCTTAAAAGTAGCAGATACATAGCTAGTGTCAGCAATGGCCTCCAGTATATAATATCCAAAATATGTTTCACCAGGTTGTTTTAACTTCCAAGCAGGAGGCAGGTTGGGCAACCTATAGCCCTCTGGATATTTTGGCCCATGATTCCCAGTATCTTTCCCTCCAATGGTTACACTGGTTAGTGTTGAGGGGAGTTGTAGGCCAAAACTGGAAGGTCAAAAGTTGCCTATCCTGGCAGTAAGGGATTCTTTACAGAATGCTGGTTTGGTTACTCTGATGCCAACTGCCAGTTTCCTTGCTGCAATTCAGACATGCTTTTAAGTAAGAGACTGACTTTGATTTTGCCTACAGAAAACTGTGTGTTGCTTTGCTTTTCTGCTATTTGAGTCTACAACCATTTATCCCCAATACTCAAATGAAATGAGGTTAGACGAAACATTCCTTTTAAACATTCCTGAAAACCTGGGGTTGGAAATTTTGTTTTTGGGTGAGTGTGTATGTGTGTTTACATAAGCTTGCTGTACAATATTGCTACGGAGGTCTTTCTTTTACCCAGTTCCAACACTGTCTTCCCTGTTCTCATTCAAAATAATTCACACTGAACTTTCAACCACCATTAAAATAGCCAAAGACTCTTTGGTCCCAAGGTATTTATGAATGCTAGACAAGCAGCTTGCTTAATGTTTGCTCTGTGACTGGAGGGGGAACACTGAAATTCTCCAAAGCCAGGCTTAAACACCACAGGTGCCTTCTATAGAAACAAAGTGTGAAATGTTGCCACATAGCCAACACCCATGGACTAAAACAAAAAAGACAAAGCTGTACATGCATAGACAAATGGTTCATTCTGGAGTGCGTTTCAGCAGGACTGCCTGAGGCAAAGCAAAGGATGATGGAAATACCAAGGGGAGCTTTAGCCTAGAGAATGTGTTGACTTTTAAAGACTAAATCAGTCCAAATCCTAACAAGAATATATAGCAAATATGAGAAACAAAACAATGGCCCACAGACTGGAAGCATTAAATGGACATTCCAATCCCCAAGCAAGGAGAGGCAAAAAGAGTAGAACCGCTGCACGAATTTTCCATGCAAGCAAAGTTATGCTCAAGGTGTTGCAGCAAATAACTTTACCTTATATGGAGTAAGAAAGGCCTTGTATTCAAGCTGGATTCCAAAAAGGAAAGGGTACTTGAGATCACAGTGCAAATGTACACTGGCTACTGGAACACACCAAAGTATTTCAGAAGATCAGTCTATGCCTTATGGCATGGGTCTTCAAACTACAGCCTGGGGGCTGGATCCAGCCCACCATGCCCATTTATCTGGCCTGCCATGCCCATTTGGGCCCACCGCCCATTTGCGCGCCCGCCACTGCCCACCTCGCCCCGCACGCAGGGAGTCAGTGGTTTGCTCACTTAGAGAAAACAGTCTCCAAGCAAGCAAGCCGCTGGCTTGTGTGCCCACCTCGCGGCGCATGCCCGCCCCCACCCATGCCTCACCTC